AGCACCACTTTTTTTGCTTTCCTTCTAGCTACAGGTTGACCTTGTGTCCTGAGCACAGTTGTAACTGCAGTTTGTGTTCATGCCTGGCTTTTATAGTATCTTGTATTTAAGCTGCATCCTGGGGTGGTGTGCTTTCTGTGGGAACTTAGTGCTCAGGTTTCCTTGTGTCTGGAGCTCCATTCCCTCTCCATTGTTGCCTAGACCTCATGGGCATTGCATCTGACAGCCAGACTGGGGCTGTAAGGTGAACTTCTTTCATCAGGCAAAGGAGGAGTATTTTTCCTAGGGCTGATATTAAATTGTAAAGCTAAAAGAATTCGGACTCCTCACCCTTGGCAATATAGGAACTGCCACGTTGTTTTATTTTCATTATAGTGATCACTACTGAGCTGTTAGGAGAAAATTACTTTCTATTTCAGTAAACTCAATTCTGGTTTCAGACTGACTGTGCATCAGATGCTTAATTTGGAACCCGCTCTCTTGGTGAAATTAAAAATTCAAATCTCCAAGCTGGAGCACTCAAACTGTGCTTGAATTAGAAATTGACTGCTGTCAATGTGCTCTCACACTTCACTTTTTTTTTTAAATTCTTTCCCCCTCCCCCCCGATGAGTTTTATATTAGAGTCTTGCTGTAGATGATCTGACTGAGCAGAAGCAGTGGGAATCCATGCTGTCACTCTGTAGACAGAGTGATGAAAGAGAAGTGTGTTGTGTTAAATAGACCATTCTTGAAAAGGACTGCTGTGTACTAATTTCGCAGTTTCACGCGTTTGGTGAAATACTTTTATAAGGTATGATTGCAAACCCATTAAGTGTTGTTTGCAAATTAATTTATGACCTAAGCAAACTTCACAGTTTCTATGCAATATCCTTGCTCCCCTATTTCTGTGTAATATTTAAAGCTGTTGTCAGATCTTGACTGAAAGAACAGGGTGTTCTCTCCACTTTAGACATTTGCATGGGCTGCCTTTACAGAATTTTGCATTGAAACAGGGAACAAAATGTTTTTTCTCCATGAAGAATAAGAAAATTTACACACCTCCCCCAACTCCTGAAATAAGCATTGATTTTTCTATTGTGAATATTCTCTGTAGGCTTGCAACTTGTGTGTCCATCTGCCTCTTTGAAAACTGGATAAATTATTCTCAGTTATTTACCTAGAAGTTAAAGAGAATTATACTTAAAGGTTTGGAAAAAATTGGGCTGGATATTTGTGGGGAAGTGCCTTCTGTTATTGACTCTGCTGAAGGCACCCAGTGCTGGTACTGGCTTGTTCTTCCAGACCTACTTGTGTTCTCCCCCCACGGTGTTTTGTTGTCCATCAGACGGTCGACAGGATGGATTGCTGAGCTGGGTGTAGGGTAAGTGATGACTGAGGAGCCTAAAAACTGTTGTTAGGCAGCTAGTTATGTGAGTTAGGCAGTTCTAGCTAGCCAAGGTGGATATCCGTGGGTTGGGTGAAATATATCAGTGGGTTGTGTAAGGAGGTTTGGAGAGTGATTTGGGTTGAGGCTCATCAACCACAGATGAATTTGGGAAGTGAGATGTAATAACAGCTGGAGAACGAGAAGTGTGAGGAGTGTCTGTAACAGGATTACACTGATGTTGATTGCAAAGGTCTTGGGCTTTCCTGACTTTTTTTTTGCTTGAGACTTCTGTAACAGTAGTTTTAACAGAGGCTATGTTGGGATCAGTGTCATCTTATTTTGAATATTTAGTGGTATCTCTGAAATTCAGCAAATAAGTCAAACTGTAACTGGTTAAGAACCTGCAACATTTTATGTATTTCTATGACTTAGGAACTGAACAGTAATAGTTATTGTCATGTCAGATTGATTAATCCCTCAGAATGGTTCATTTTTGTTCCTGATAGGTTAAACATTTGTGTATGTGTTTGTAAATAATAAATATTTTCACCTCACTTACTTTGTTTGTGTACAGTTTGATGCAGGTGTTTAAGGCTTCCTTAACAAAAGCAGCACTACAGAAATTGCTTGGAGCAGTACTTTGATAGTTGGCTTTGAATATGACTAAATACCTTTTCCTCCCCACCACAGTTACCACCCACAAATGCTGTGAAGGGGAATTTGTTATTCTAATAAAAATCAGTTGTAATATATGTGTATTCAGATAGTCGAGCTATCTTTAAAAACTGCATATATAATTTCTCACTTACTTTCAGAAAGGACTTGATGAGCTTCCAAGCATTTTGCATTACATGCTTAAAGCAGGCGTGAGGAGGTGATCTAAAATAAATTAAATGATTGTTCTTCAGCATCAGGCTGGGTACAAGAGAATGTGCTCTTTTCATCAGTGGGAAATGCTCTTTGGTTTCACCTCTCCCTCTTTCATCTCACTGGTGTGGACTAAGGTGTGAACAACATTGCTTTACAGCAGTAGACTATTTTCTTTTTCCCTATGCTCTGGATGTGAACTGTTAGCTTTTATGAAATATTGGTCATCAGGAAAGATTGCTGTGGTGAAAGAGCTGTTATGATTATTTCTGGGCTTTCATAATTTGAAGTGATTTGCACATACTTACCATTAGAATATATGTTGTATCATCTTCTAAGATTGTAAAATATATTTTTTTAGAAGTTGATTTGTAATATTACAATCAAAAGGCTCTTCCATTTGGGACTTTACTCTTTTTCTAAATGTGTGTCTGATATAATGCATGAAACACTATTATGTAGGATTTAAAATTTACCTTCAGTTGTTTCCATTCTGATAGTCTTGTAGTTAATTGCCAAATGTTATTTGATGTTCTTGAAATTGAGAGAATTATAAGGTGAATTTGAGGCCTGTCTTTATTTTACAAGATAACTGAATTGGTTCAGTGTAGTTTCTGTATCTGATGTGCAGACAAAGCAAGCTATGGTTGGGAGGCTATGCAGAGAAACAAAGTCTCTGTAACTACATTTCAGATAGGTGATGATAAACAACTGAAATTAGAATAATCTTGAGACAGAAGGGTAAACAGTGCCCAAAGAGTATGCCCAAGGTCATAGTAACTTCCTAGCTGGGTTTTGTGATGGCTGAGGGCACCGTGACTGCTCTCTAGCTGGAACTGGGGATTAGGCTGTGGCCACTGCCTTCTCCCTCCCTTATCCTTTGGGCAAAGGTGTGAGTGTTCATGTTGGTCCCAGCTCTGTGCACTCTGCCTTGTGCTCAGAGGCACCTACATTGGGGTGAAGGACTTGCAGCTCTCTCCTGGTAGCATCCTCTGGATGGGTCGTGGCTTGGACTGTAATCTTGAGGATAATTCAGACAGTGGTCTGTTCTGGTATCCAGGTGGGTCACTTGTGCTGCTGGACTCACTGGGAGACAGACCTGGAGTCCCTAAAAGAGCTGAATGCCAGATGTGCTTAGAGGGTTACCTGCAAATGTTGTGAGGACTGCAGAGATGTGTGGGTTTTGTGTGAACTTGTTGAGGATACTGGAATTGTACCCCTTTGGCTGTAATAATATTTAGAATTGCATCCAGTTCACTTGGTGTGAATATCTAATGCTTTGGCCAATTTGAACCCTATTTACATTAGCTTAGTTTAAATTTGGTGTTTAAAGAGCTGTAATTATCTGTCTGCTTTAGAAATTCATAGTGATTTAGTGAGATCAATTTTAAACTGATTTTAATTAAAGCAGAGAATCTTTTACGTTTTTACAGATGAGGCCTGTGACTAGCCTTTTTAAATTATGAGGAAGTATATGCAGTCCTAGAATGACTTTTTTCTGCATGACTGATTTCTTCTGCTGAAGTCAAATTTAGGCTGTTGTTTTGTATATAAACTAAAAGAATTAAATTCTAAAGAACATTTTATTCAATTTTTTCCCCTTGCTCCAAGAGTGGTTTCTATTTGTTAAGACTTCTATTAAATTGCTGCCAGTACAGCATTTCACTCTTTTTATTGTAGACAGGCCAATGGATTCTGTGACCTTTTTTACTTTTGATTTCTGTGATGCTTTTTTCCTCAGACAAAAGAGAATGTAAGAGATAGCTGGGATATTCTAATTTATGGTGATAGGAAGCAGAATACAGAGGCCTAACTGCAGTCTCATGGTGAGATGTGCCACTATTCTAGTATATGGAAAATGTATCAACTGCTTTTGTTGAAGGTTATTTGGAGAGAATGTAAAGAATGTTGGGAAAATTCTCCTGGAAAGTTTCAGGTCTAATGCTTAAATTCTTGTACAGGATGTCATTGTAGTGAAGTGTGTATGAGACCTGTGTTAGGAGTTGTTGAGTAGTTTAGATTATGTGCACATCTGTCAATGTAATAATTGACAAAGGATCGTGATGAGAGATGAATATTAAATGTAAAGAAAAAAATCTGAAACTTGTGTTTTTGGAAGAGCTCTGTGTGTGGGATATGAATATATCTAATACCTGAGATTCTGGCAATTTGATTCTGTTTCAGTGAGTAGAGGGCAGCTAGTAGAGGGCATAATTCAGCTAGTCATCAGATCCCCTTGAAGGGTGATTCCGGCAAATAGGTCCAGTCAATATGTTTCCATGATACAAAATGGATGATAGCGCAAAGCTTGTATTCCCATTATTGTGTGCAGGACAGATAAATGGAATACCTTTTAACTAGCAGTAAACTGAGAAACTGAAAGTAGTTGCCATATAATCTTTCACCTATAATATATATAGAAATATACAGAAAACATAGACAGGACATCAATTCTGATGTCCTGCTTTTCATGTTCACTGTGATTTATATCATGGGTTTTTTTGGTTGATTTTTTTGTTTGTTTTCTATTCTCTGCAAACAGCAAATTTATCTTTTCATCTATGTAAGTAAGGTATGTGTGGAGAAATAGAATTATTGAGCAAAGGCCCTTCCTTAATGATACTAATACTTCAGTAATGCTAGAAAGCATTTGTTTTCTAGGACTGATGGTTCTGCATGCAAATCTTCTCCTTTAACTCTGTGTTTTGCACGATAGCTAGTACCATAAATCTCAATGACAACTTCTACAATATTTCATTAGACTGATATCTGCAACCACAGGGTGCTACAGAATTGCATCTGTTCCAGAAGCAGAATCTGAACCACTTGCAACTCATACTATTAAAGTATGGATATGGACACAAGAAACTGGACACAAGCAACAATAGGTTATGAACAAAATTGCTTTGTGAGTATGGTTCTCACCTTGTTGGATGCAGATTCAGTCCTGTCTTACATGTGCTTGTAAGTCTGCCATAATTCTGAATCAGAGAGACTTAAAAGTCTGTCCTTTAATGTGCTGTTAAGCAAGTTGAGAATGAAAAAGTAGACTGGTATTGTGAATAGGGAAGATGATGTGATTCATTGTACCCAGGTTTGTGTCCTGATGGACAAGACTCTGTTAGTGAGTTCACTTAAAACCAGGTGCAAATTCTTTAGAAAGTGAATGAATACATGCAGTGTTCTCTATCTGCAGTATGGTCATTGTCTTTGTTTCGTTGAAATGGAAAGCAATGTGCGCTGCTTGAAATTTCAGAAGCAACTATTTTCAGATGCTACAATGTGTTAAGCTTATAAAACTGCAGAAGCATTTCATGGACTCTTTTTCCCTCCCCCAGATGATCACCAGCAATTAATGCCTGCAGGCTCCCTTCGTAAAAAGAAGCTGGCAAAAAGACCTGGATACATGAGGCCAGAAGCTCAGCAACAGATAGAGTTTCAGTCCCTTGGTGCCTGCAAACCATCCAGACCAGGAGAGCTCCAACATGGAAGGCAAGATTGTGGAGACTTTGAGAACTGCGCTCTATGCAGACAATGCCAAAATAACTTCGAACTCCTGCGCTGTAGTGCAGTTAGTAGCACTGTAGTTCCTGCTGATGGGGTAACAACATTGGCTACTACTGGAAATATGCCAGGATGCTGCAAAAATATATTGTATTGCAAGAGTCCACTGTCAGAAAACACAGTGACAGCAGCTTACCCTGCTGCTGCAACAAGCAACGGAGATGTTTCTGCTGTATGCTGTACATGGCAGAAAAGCCACAGTGCTAAAGTGAGCAAGCCCCCAAATATGTATGCTTTGGATCAGACAGAAGTGAATAACAACTGTGAATATCAAAACAGAGATGATATTTCTCATTCTGCTGTTGCACACAATAGTTTAGATAGTTTTAGTTCAAGTTTCAGCTTCATACAGCTCTCCCTGAACTCGGCCTCTGGAGTAAATGATGTTGAAGGCAAATCAACTGTTGAGGAAACTGAGATTGTTCTGCATCCCAAAACCACAGGAAGTCTGCAGAAGCCAGAAGGGATGTCACAAACTCATGAGAACTTGGGAGATTCATGTTGCTTCTCCAGGTCCAGTGAGGATTTGGAGCATGAACATGAGAGCCCTGTGAATGATGAATTCCAGGACTGTGAGGCTCTCTCTCTCTCAGATATAGATGCAACATTTTCATATTCTACAGATTCCTTGGATGCAGCATCTGCTGGCTCTTCTGTCACCTCAGGCTATGAAAGTAGCTTTACTGTTAGTGACCGTAACTGGGATATTTTGATGAAAAAATATGAACCAGTGCTGCAGGATTGCTTGCTTGGCAACCGCAGTACACTAAAGGTCAGTAATCTCACTTTGGTTTCGATTCCTCTCCCTGTCCCTCAAAACATTTTTATTTATAGTTCTGAAATCAAAGTTTATGTTGGAGTTCAGGTACTACTAATGGCTTTTGTAGCATTTGTTCAAAGAGTTTTACAGTAGTGCTCTGTATGATAAAAGTGAGAGAACAGGTTTTGTTTGGTTCTTCAGAAAAAAGGTGATGTTGTTGCAGTACCTATTCTGTGTTCACCTGAAACTCACTTCTAATGTCACGCATCAGTTTCTGAGTTCATTAAACACCGTTTTCTTTCACAGGTGGCTGTTTTTTCTGCAGTTTGGGGTATATGTAGTACAAAATTTGGGGAGGATAATAACTGTTCTTGAAGCATCATGATTTAACAACATAAAACTTTTTAACTGGAAATGTTTAAGTTTAGCTAGAGATTTCTTGGAGTGAGGCAACTGTGTGAGAGTAGCATGTAATCTAAGAGATGGGTATTCTCCCCACGTGAAGAAAAATAGCGGTCAAGTCCCTCTCTGCCTCCAGCTGGGAATGGAACCTTTTTTTTTTTTTCTTCCACCACAGAGAAGTAATGGAGCAGTGAGTCAGGAGTCTTTATTTCTGCATGTATGTATATACCCACACTTAGACCTGCAATGTGTACAGGCAGTCGTTCACTGTGTCCTTTATGGGAGAGGGGTGAGGAAACTTTAAGAAGGATCATCTGTGTTTTGTTATATGGTTTCTGGGATGGCAGGGTGGGCATTGGAGGAAAATAATTCTGAGTTTACCTGCTCCAAGGAACCAAATACTAGATTTGTTATGCAACCAGGAAGCAGTAATCTAGAGATTAATATGGACACAATGTATTTCACTAATTTGTTCAAGATGCACTGAGTAGGTAGTGGGTTTTTTCTGGTGTGGTGGGCTTTTTGTTTGGTTTTTCTTTGTTGGGTTGGTTGGGTTTTTTTCACTGTTTCATTAGTGCCTTTCAGAAACTCAGATTCTTCTGACTTCTCAGCTCAGACACATAACTGTTGAGATACACTGTTGAGATACAGTCTTTAGGCCTGATGAAACAACTTGCTCTGGGGAGACTTAGCACAACCCTGCTGTCTGGGTAAGACAGAAGGTTGAGAAACTTTTACTATTGCTTTTTTTCTGCATGACATCTGACCTGGGCCTGCAATGCTCTCTAATACTTTCTTTCCATAGAGGATTCATGTAGAACTCAAACTAGGTTCTGTTATTTACAGACTTCACACACATTGACATGGAGCAGTTTCTTTGGCTTCATGCCTGGAATGACAACGTGCCTGTGGTCTGGGATGGTTTGGGAAATTCATTTGCTACAAATTTGGGAACATATAACACAATCAAAATAGGAAGTTATTTTTCTTTCCTTTCAGTACTTTTTTTGATAGGCACAAATGAAACATTGCTATCTTTAATTTCTGTATTCATTAATTTGTTGAAAGGAGAACTGGGGATTTGTGCCCTCAGATGTCTTTGCCCTTGGTTAGCCAGTCGTGTATGTTTAATTTGAAGCACCTTCCTATTGTAATGATAACGAGCAAGTCTTAAAGTTTTCAGAAAGGAACAAAGGCAACTGCAGTCAAGAAAAGGAGACAATAGCAAAAGTGTTAAAATTAGTGTTCTCTGTACTTAAAAACAAAAGTGATCATCATCTGGTACAGATATAGGACATGCCACGCTGAAGCAGCTCTTCCATGAGTTGAGCTCCAAATGTCTTACTAGCCTGCAAATAGAAAACATTTTACTGTGGCAGCATCAGTCAGTTTGCCATTGGTGAGTCTGGGCTGTGGTACCCAAGCAGACTTTAAATGACCTGCTCCTGTAGCACATGATGGAATAAACACTGCAAACAGCAGCAAAGCTGTATTGCAGTATAGATGGTTGTTATACATCATATATGTGAAAAAAGTGTCATTTGAATCATTCCTCCTGCAGGCTTCTTTAAAGCTCTGTCAAAAGTCAGGCATAAAATACAGAAAATAGTTTACGATGAGAATTCAGAGCTCCTCCCTTCAGTATCTTACACATTCCTCAGCAGCATCAGAGAAAAAAGATTGGAGTTTCAGGATATGAAAACCAAAATAAAATAAAGCCTTGAGGAAAGGGGAATGTATACAATGTTTTGTGTTTGTTTTTCTTCTGGGCCATCCTATAGCCTATTATTAATCAGCCATTTTTGGATACTTTCCTGGCTTTATTTTTTATAGTTCTTTTCTGACTAGTCCACTTTCACATACCATGTTTAGAAGGGATATCCTGAATTTAAAGGTCTTGTCTAATTTGTGTGTTGATTGTGTAGTCTCAATAACTGAGTGCTTCTATGAAGTTGTTGACTGGCTGTACCTCTTTTTCTCTATTCAATTTAGAGTTTAAATATAGGGATTAAATATGAAATAGTTTCAGGGAGGAGTGAAGTACTCTGTAAATGCAGAATGTCTAAAGTATGGATTTTGTTGTGTTGGAAAATGCTTTCCCAAGCACTTTCAGGCTTTGGACTGTAGGAATATATGCTGCTTTTTTTCCAGGCTTACCTTTTTCAGTGCTGATATTGGCTTGTTTGGTACCTGTCATGTATAAATTTAATAAGAAAGAAACACATTTCAGTCTTGTAACTGTAGCCGTGCTAGGCTATGGCTAGCATGGCAATGAGGAGAGGACTAAACTTGCCTTCTAACCAATTTCTTTTTACAGTAAAAACTTGTAAAGGCCTTGGAATGCACAGCTAGCCTTAAAAATTTTTAGTAAATTTAGAACTTTAGTCCAGACTCTTTGATGTTAACAAAGAGAAGCATTAGCTTTTGAAATAAAACTTTATTATGGTAGAAGTTTCTTTTTGGGTGTGAGAGAGCAGTCTGTATGTGGTTTAGGTGTTCTTGGTGTTCTGCTTTTTTCTTCATCCAGCATTTGGATTGTGAACTGAAAATGCAAACATCAACATTATGTAGATGAGCCTAAATTGTATTTTAATGAAACTTTGTTGGGTGTATATGAATACTGTCTTCTGACCCATAACATGAGTATACCTGTTCCAAAATATTCATACTGCATTTCTCTTTCTTGTTACAGAATTAAATGTGGTTTGCATATGGAAATATCGTATTCTGTGCAAAACTTAGGGAAAAAATTGTTGGAATGGGCTCGGGAACACACTGTTGAGTACAGTGTGATCAGAAGTATATGTCATGCTGACAGAATCCTCTAATAATCCTACTTTGATTTAGTCAAAGGGTGAAAAATATCCTGTGATCACATGATCTCCTTTGCTTTTCAAGAAATATCATTTGTTATTCTCTGTATGTGTTTGGACTAAAGCCATGCTTGGCTCAAGTAGCTTCAGTTCAACTGACTTCCAAATAGGTCTGTCTAATTAACAAATACTGGGCTTAATTATCAAAATTTGGTCATTGTAGTGATTTAGTAAGCCATTATGTTATGTAGAGGTTAATAGTCTAAATATTTTTAAATGCAGCTTCTTCTTCATAATTAACTTTTTTTTCTTTGCCTAGATAAAATCCTTGATCTTACGGCTTCAGAGGCTTCAGGAAAAAGCAATAGAGGAAGATGACTACGATAGAGGTGAGAATTGCTCCCCCCTACTCTCCATGGGATCATGCTGCCGGTTTTTTTTTTCTTTCCTTCTCCTTTCTCTCTTAATTTTATTTTATATTTCCTACATAACAGTTGGTAGGTGTGGAAGACTAGTTCAATGAACTGTATTCTTTATTCTTTTGTATGGCAGGAAGCAAATTAAAGTAGGTCAGCAGCAGGTAGCAACAGTTTTTATTTTCTTGAGCCACATCACCATGTGGGAAGGTTAAATTCCAAATATCCACCATCTGGATCAGCTGTTTTGAAGCAGCATGACTTTAAAAAAAATGCAGAAATGAATGAAAGCTTTAAAAGGAGAAAGGACAGGCGCTGGCTGCTGACAGAGTGAGATTTGTTGCTTGCCACATTTAGTCATGACACTACAACAGGGCTCAAACACAGAAATAAGGTCAGTAGCTATTATAAAAGTGAATGATACTGTCCTGTGGGATTAAGTTGATGTCACTGAATTCAATCAAAACCAACTAGAGAATATGGTGATGATAGAGTTGCTGGCAAATGGCTGTCTTTGAATAGTGCCTTTCCTTTCAAATGCCTTGGCACTTCTGATAAGCTTGGTGTGTGCACACATTAATAATTAGAGCATTTATGAACACACATATTAGGTTTCTTCTTGTTTCCTGCTCTGGTAGTCTGTGTTCAGGTACTCATGTTTTGATAGTCTTGAGGTTCTAGGTTAAATTCTTCTCACTAGATCTATAATTAGTTGGAAAACCCTGCAAACATGTCAGTAAAATATGCGTGAATATGCATGAATTGAGAGAATAAGACTGGAAAAAGATAGCTCCTTTCCTGCCACTTTTTTATTCTCAGCTTTTAGAGATCGGGCAGTGGTCAGAACTTATGGTTTGCCTTTCAAAATACTTGCAGTTGTACCATGACTTCCTGTCCCCAAAGAGGTCTCCAAGGTGATGAAAATGTGTTTTAATAGTGTGTAGGGAGTAGGTATGTAGCCCTTTTGCAAGAGTGGTTCTGTTGGCCTCTTAAAGGCTCGCCTGTGTATAGAAGAGTTTGCTACCATCCCAAATCATTCTTTTAGTGTGGCACCTCCTAATGGTGAAAATGTCTAGGTACATTAAAAGCTAAGGATGTTTTACATATTCATGGGTTTAATCTCTGTCAAATAGATATTATTCATGTGTGTGCTTTACATGTGTAATACTCACAACTCTTGTTTTTCTAGTGTCTGTGGGTTGAGCTCACAGTTGGAGACTTCCCAACAGCTGTGTACTTGGTGCACATGGTTAGCACAGATTCCAGCTGGGTTTCTCTGGGCAGTCAGCCACTCTGACAGCAGCATTTCAGTGTGTCAGGTGTGACATCTCCTTGTGATGCCACATAGTCACTGACCACAGGGAAAAATTATGACTTGTCTTGAATCTTGCACAGAAAGCCCCTCTGTAGTTTTCCTGGGCGCTAGTCTTGTACCCTTAAAACAGGACCAATGTTGTGTTGACCATCACTTTATCAACTACCCTTTTCAGTTCCACCCTGGTTCTCGAGCAGGTAGCACAGAGGGTGGTTTGCAGAGTTTTCCCCTCAGAAAAATGATCTGGCTGAAATGTTATTTCACCACGTATTGTGAACGCAGAGAGAAAAAGTGGTAGCAGTACAAAGGTGGTAAGAAGCATCCACAGGTGGGATTGCTGTTTTCTGTGCTAAGTCTGGTGTATATATAGACAGAAAACATTTGTCCTGATATGAGACTAGATGCTGAAGTGCTTGAGAAACTTTGCCTTGGGTTCTTCTATCCCTTTGAAAACTGGGAGTCCATCTTGAGACACCGTTGCTCTCAGAAAATGCCATACTTCAAGCATGTGTGTGACCATGCATCCTTAATTTTATGAATTTCTAGCTTTTGAGTCCTTGACTTGCTTTCTGTCATACTTGTTTTTGTTCCTCTTCTGATAAAACTGAACCAAGGGGTTTTTGATACTGCTTTTCATTATTTTCATGGTATCTGAACTGTCTTTTTTAGTTTTTTTGTTCATGAAACATGGGCAGCATATTTTCAAGGAAAGAGTCACATGGAGAAGGTGCAGTGCTGCAAGAAGAATCAGAGCTGTGATCTTCCCTCCTCATCTTGCAGTGGCAAGATTTCCACCTTTGCTTTTAGAGCTATTTCACTGTTCCTGGTGGAGAACAGTCTTCCCTGGTGTGAAGTTTGAAAGCTTATTAAAAAGCTTATAGATTGGCCCAGTACCAATTTCTGTTCAAGTGAAATTTGTAATTAGCCTTCTTTAAAATGCTCTTATTGTCAAATATTGCTAGCAGGGAATGGAATTGCTAAGTGTGCAGAGCTGTGATGTGGAGCATAAATGGCAGTGTATTATCAGGGAATGTGAGAAACCAACATGGTGTATACGGAGGGCTAATGACATTTTAACTATATGCAGAAGATTACTGTCCCTGTAATTTGGGGAATGACCTTGAGTGTACACCACGTCCTCTGTTAAGAGCAGAACTGTTTTAAACCAGAGAGGATGGCATGCTGTGTGTGGTGATGACACAGGTCTTGCTCATTTGGAAGTTCTCTAGGAGGAAAGGTAGACCTAGTATGATGTGGATAACTGATAAATGCCCTATATATGGAAGAGGTGAGTAGGGGGGAAGGAGAGCAGGTGGAGGGAGGGGTATGAGTGACTAGACTCCCAAGTGGAAAATTAAATTGTCAATAAATACATTATCATGTGTAATTACTGCTTTGTTGTTAGAGGCTCCTCTCTAGCTCTGATCATAGTTGAAGGGATCTTCTGACTTCAGCTTTCTGAGTCATCTAGTCTTACAGGAAGGGCCTCAGTTGTTTGGTTTTTTTTACAACAGTTTGGTGGGACGGAGATGTGTTAGTACTTAAAACTCCTCAAAGTGCTAAGGACTGGTTTCTGCTGTGTGACACTGCAAACTTCGCAGGAATAAGGATATATTTGTTTTCCCCCTTTACAGAAATACAGGACAAATGCATGCTGCTTGGGTCTGTTAGAGTGATGATTCTTGAATGAGTGATGATTTTTTTTAAGGGCTTTTTGCAACCACAACCTTCCATTTTTGTTTAAAAGACAAGGGAATACCTGTTTAAATCTTCAGCTTGTTTCTTCCTAGTTTTCCCTTTCTTTAGGTGAATCTATTTGCTCCTTCTCTTCTTCCTCATCTTGGGCTTGAGAGGTGCACAGCAGAAATGGCACTTGCCGTTGCTTGGTTACCTGTGCTGTGCCTTCTGAAGTCCTGCCTTGGCATGGTTAGGGTGTTGGTGTAGGGGAGCTTCAGTCAGTCATTCAAATAATTACATTTTTTTCCTATACTTTCTTGCAGTGCCATGGGGTGGAGTGGGGGATATGTTTGTTCCAAGAGTGCTGGGGGGCTACTTGGGCAGAGGCTGCCCCCCTGTCCTATATTGCTGCTCATCTACTGCAGGTCACTGAGCACAGTGCAGTGAAACTGCAGGGTGTTCTCTTTTCATACTGTAGCTGTCAGGGGTTGTTTCAAATGCAGTTATTCATACTGTGAAATGGTTACGTGAAATGCATATTCAGTGAGACAAATCTCCTCAGCCCTGGTATATTTTTAAATAGGAACCATTAGGATGTTACTTGTTTTACTGCTCTTTCTGTTTGTAGGGGCTGAAATATCAGGAAATAAGTGATTTGGTTTTTTATTTTCTGTATTTACTTGTGGTCTCCTCTTGATGGCCACATTACTGTATATTTTCAAAGCAGGTACTGTACCATGGGAATATAAGCATTTTGCCTTGCCTAGCATATAGGAAAAATTGGTCTGTTCTCCAAGGATCACTTGAAGTGTTGTCATGGCTCATTATTCATGATGGAGCTTGACAGCTCCAAGGTTAAACACACTGCTGAATACTGGGGGGGAAAAAAGAAGACAATATATTTTGTGTCTGTAGGAGTTGTGCTTGCAGTAGGAGCAAGTGTATTTTGCTCAGTACAAATCTATTGCCCTAACATTTGAAAACCTTTTTCCTGTTTTTAGCGTCTTGAGCTACTCAACTTTGCCTGGTGCAAGAGGCAAGTGGATTGGTAACTATCAGGACTGTCTTGCTGCTGAACTCTACTAGTGGTTCTTGTGCCATCTTTTTACTCAGAAGAAAGTTTTTTCAGAGCTACAGTTTTGTGTTTTGGGGTTTTTTGTTTGTTTTTTTTTAATTATTATTTTTTTTAAAGAAAATTCTCGTATGCAGAAATGTGAGCATACAGGTTCATTGTTTGCAACTGATAGGGAATGTAAACTTCCCTGTGCAGTCACATAGTATTCAGAGTAGCTACGGCTCTTCAGTGAAGGTCATACAGTAGATCAGAGCAACTCCTCATCAGTCCAACATGTCAGGTAGAACACAGAAACATCTTTGCCAGACATGGCAAAACCTATCCTATCTCAGCAATAAAAATTCAGGCTGTTAATACATTTAACATCATGTGAGTGGTTATTTTAGGTGAGTTCTCAAAGCATGAACTATGTGAATTCGTAAGCTGCCATGGACTTGTGTGCTGTGTGTTCTGCAGAAAGAGAGAAAACAATGAAGTATCATGTTAAGTAATGGCTGGGTTAAAAATGTTGTGTTAAGTGGCACTCCGAGAGAGGCCTTGGACTTTTCTTACAGTGGTTCTTGCAAACTCCAAACTCCTGGCCAGGTGTATAGCTGTTTGGTATTTCCAAATTTCTTTTTGCAGTTTAAACTGGAACAATATTTTTCCCAGTGTAAAGTACTATTTCTAGTCATAACTCTTACAACATTTGAACCAATTTGATATTCAAGCAGGGGGGTGGTGTGTTGTTCTTTTTGTTGTCTTTTTTAATTTGTTTTTTAATTTCTTTTTTTCCTGGAAGTGCTATATGTGGATGAGGTTTGGACAGAATCCCTGCTTTACTGTGCTTCTATTATTTTGAACTAAAATGCTTGCTTGACAGATGGCTGCTATAACAGGACACAAACGAAGGCAAGTTGGCTTCTT